GTAAATCTTCCCTACACTGGAACAAAATATTACTCTGAATCTTGATGGACAAAAAAATTATAAATATAATAGTTATATGTGATTATGGATTGATTATTAAGGATTTTAATAAATTTACATACATTCCCTCTTAATGGCAGGCTTTTCACTGAAAGGTGCCGTGGTTTTCATAAATGTGACGGCGAGCGTATAGCATTGCATGCATTAATAACAACAAGCATGATAATAGTTGAATTTTTTTATCAGTTTTCTTTTCTTTTCTTTAAGAGTTAAATTTATGCAATAAATTCATTTTTGATGACTCTTAAAATTTAAAATGTTTAAAAATAAAATTAATATATTTGATAATTAATTAATTTTTTAATTAAAATAATTTAATTTATTTTTTATAATTAAAATATCTAGTGATTTACCATGAAAAAATCAAAAAAATGATAAATAAAAATAGATAATACTTAACAAGGTAGGTGATCATTATTTGTGGTAGCGGCAAGTGGTGTTTGATAAACCATGTAACTAGTACTTGGTATCTATAAAAATTCTTCTGTGATAGACTCTTAAATAATAAAGTTATTGATTTTATAAAGAGAAAGTGTAATGGTATTTTAAAGAAATAAACTTTAAAAATATAAAGAAAATGTAATGGTATTTTAAAGAAATAAATTCTAAAAATATATATGCTAAAAATATTAAAAATAAAGAGATTATAGATCTTTAATTTTAAAGATTCATGATATATTTATAATATATAAATTTTAGCATTATATGGAGAGAAGGGTCTAAAATATAATTTAACTCTTTTAATATTTTTGAGTTATATTTTATTTAAAATAATATATATTAAATTAATATAAAATATGAGACGCGAGGATTCTAAAAGAATCCCATGAGCTTGAGGGAGACGTCGATGTGGGGATTCTAAAAGAATCCCATGAGCTTGAGTCCATTATAGTGAGAAATGATATTTGATTATAGCTCTTGTTATTTAACTTCTTATTATTTGGTTGAATAGTATTTCACCTGGCTATTTTTATAAAATGAGAATATATCCAACATATTATTGCAAGGGATTGGCTTGAAAGCCAAGAAATTACAGTTTTTTTTTTTTCGAGACCAGTATAAAATAAAATATTAAATTTATTTGAATAAACTAGAATATCATGAAGGAGCTATTGATTAATAGGTAAATTGATTTGACACGTTTTTATAGTTGATTTTTTAAAAAAAGAATTAAAGAAAGAAATTAGGGCTGTTCAAACAACTATTTTGGAGTCCAAACGCAAAAGGTGATTAGCTTATAGAATTTCTAAAAAATAA